TCACCGGAGGTTCAATCTTCAATCTTGCCGCGAATCAACATTGGTGCTGTAGTATTGGATACCACCTCTCGTTTCAGCTACTTTGGGAGTGTGATGTCGACTGATCAGCAGATACACAATGAGCTGGCTATTTGCGTGTCGAAGTCAGCGGCAGCATTCGGGAAGCTTGAGTACCGAGTGTGGAACAACCATCAGCTTACCATTGGCACAAAGCTGATGGTGTACAAATCCATGGTACACCCCTTCTTCTATACGGCAGTGAAACGTGGACGATGTACCGTCGGGATATGCGATATCTCGAGCGGTTCCATCAGCAGTGTCTGCGACGAATTTTACGGATCGCCTGGGGCGACAGAGTTGCAGACACAGAAGAGTTGCATCGAAGTGGGATGTATGCAGTGGATTGCATACTTTTATTGAGACACCTGAGGTGGATCGGTCATGTGTGGCGTATGGATTCGACGCGGATGCCGAAGCAGCTATTATATGGTTAGCTGAGTATTGGGAAGCGGCACGTGGGGAAACCAAAGTTACGTTACAAAGACATGATTAAAGTGAGCCTCACACGTTCTAACTTGGATTGCAGATCATGGGAATGGAAGGCGGTTGATCGGCAGGCATGGCGCGATCTAATCACGAAGGCAGTTGCTGAAGTGCGGGAGCAAGCCCTCATGCATGCAGAGAAGAAGCGGCAATTGCGGAAGTGGCAAGCACCGATGAAGTGTACTCCATCGACTTCAAGCGCATGGTGCTGTAGAACATGTGGTCGCTAGTGCCTTAGTCAGGCAGGCTTAGTGAGCCATGAGCGAGGCCACTCGGGACTACTACCGAAGCGACGACGTGTTCTGCAGAGAACACAGGCAGAACCGGCGCAGCGTTTGTCGGTACGCTGCATTCGATTTATTAACCTCGTGCCTGCATGCTAAGTTTCTTTATTTCAAGTGGTGGGTTTTCAATTTTGCATTAATGCTTTTCTTTCTCATATAATTGTCTACCTGTACTCTATTCCATTAAATTGCACACCTACCTTAAGCCAATTGTGTTCGATTTCCATAACATTTTTGTGTTCGTGGCATTTCCGTATAGTATAATTTCTCACCTCGTGATCTTATTTATGATTCGTTTGTAAAAAGTTTACTTCATATGCTCATTAACTTAAGGTTTATACCACCGTTTCCATATGCATCACTCGAGTTAAGTTCTTTCTTTCTCTCTCTCTCTCTCTCTCTCTCTCAAGTGTTTGGCTGTTGTTTGATATCCCCGATGTGGCTGCGCTTGGTGTGCATGTTGACAAGGTGCCTACCTGTCTATTACCTGCTACCTCGTCCATACTGGCTCCGGGAGAAAGTTGGTCGTTGATGGAGGGGATGTGGTGCACGGTCCTTGTGGCCATGTTAGGAACAAAGAGCGGTTCCAGGCACTCAGTGTGTAGCGGAATACGGTCCAGCCACCGCCTTGTGTGCGCCTGATTCCCAACTACAGCGTGCTTGTGTTTGCCTGTGAAGGATTGTGGGCCGGCTCCGTTGATGAAACGTGGTTCCCATCCGCATGCCTCCCGGTCTTACTCCTTCGGGTTTACACTGGATATGGGATGTGTGTTTGGAGCTGTGGGTGGTGCAGCGCAAGCCATCTATGGTCCCTCTGTAGCCGCAGGCGTCCTTTGGCTTGCCACAGTGACAAGCAAATCCAAAACCGGATGCCGCCAACCATATATATATGAATAAATGAATAAATGAATATTCTCCATTGAACACGAGAATCACCATTAGAGACCTTATCAGTTTGTACAACAAGCAAATGTCTGACTGTGACGGCAACAGTTGCATTCATGACTAAATTGGTGTACTGTCAAATAGTGCCACTACTGAGTCGGGACAGATTAAAATCTAAGGGCATTGTCACGTCAGGTAAAGTCACGAAATCACTTTATGCGCCTATGAAGGGTGAATTTTCAGCTGTAACAGACACGCGATCGAAACGGTAAAGCGAACAACACTGTACCCTTACAATGTGCTCCTAGCAGTATGATTCTCTTCAGCAGTGAAAGCAGCCTAATTAAGGCTTGCGGGTTTGTTGGAAGGCAGTCATGAGGCGTTAACAGCTTTTGGGGTGATAGCAATACGGCGCACATCGACGGGTGTTCACATACGGCCAAACTGCCTTTCTCGGTTACTAGCATATCGACACAATTCGCAGGAAAGCCTTTTGCTGGCTTTTCACTTGCAAGAAGGCCGACTACAGATCGATCGAAAAGTGCCACGTTCAGTGCGGCTATGTAGTGTCACGTGCATGTACCACAGCTGAAGGGCGTGCGTTCCCTTTTTCTTGCCACGCGGTCGATGCATGATGTATTTACTGCAGCTGTGGCGTCTGGCTAATGTTCACTTCTCGCAACCGAATGGCTCGATGTTTTCTGCGATTTTAGGCACACATATTGCGTCTGTGTCCCATCTCACCACTGCCGGCAAAGCAATTTGCGCCATTTGACGGTTAGCAATTCTGTATGTAGGACTAGTTAATACTAGTCCGAGACGGTGCGCGAATGTAAGCGCGAATATCAGAGGGCAATGGGAGTCGGACACTGCGGATTGTATTCATTGGGCTACAATAATAAACGGACGGATGCAGCGAGGCGAGAGGGTACACGTGAGCGCGGGAACTTACAAGACTGTTGTGTGTCGAGCCGGTTGTAAGAATAAAACAAGAATGAGTAATGTACGATCGGTCAACAATTAAATTGTACATGAAACAAAGCAATTATCTTTTAGGGCGCTACAGAGTTCCCCCCCTAGAAGGCTGAACCTAAAAAGCATTCGAAATCGAAAAGTACTGTCGAAACGAGTTTCGTAAGGCAAAATCTTGCCGATGTGGCACTAGTTAATACTAGTCCGAGACGGTGGGCGAATGTAAGCGCGGATATCAGAAGGCAATTGGAGTCGGACACAGCGGACTGTATTCGATGGACTACAACAAGAAGCGGACGGATGAAGTGAGGCAAGAGAGTACATGTGAGCGCAGAAACTTATAAGGCAGTTGTGTGTCGAGCCGGTTGTAAGATTAAAACAAGAAAGAGTAATGTACAATCGGTCAACAAGTAAATTGTACACGAAAGATAAGAGTTATCTTTTTGGGCGCTACGGAGCTCCCCCTAGAAGGCTGAACATAGAAAGCCTTCGAAATCGAAAAGGAATGTTGAAACGAGGTTCGTAAGGCGAAATCGTGCCGAGTAAATTTGGGCGTGCGTTCGTGTAAATGGGGGTTCGTCGGAAGTCGGAGTCCGCTGTGCCGTTTATGATATGTTATTTATTGAATGCAGGGCAGGGTGCATTTCGGCGAGCCGTTGGAGCGGGCTTGTCGGACTACAAATACTGGCTAGCCCAGAAAAAGTCCGACAGGACCTCAACCTCCGCTGCTGCCAAACGGTGCGCTTGGGAGTGGTCTCTTCCCCCGCCGCACCACACCCCGCGCCAAACGACCCTCGTCCCACGAAGAAGCGACCCGTCGTCCCAAGATAAAGGACCGTGGTCCCGCGGAGAAGCGATCAGCGTCAAGGTCCTCGAAAGTAGTGGTCGTGTGGGCCAGTCGATCGAAGGGAGGGTTGGGGCATGTAAAGACGAGAAAATAGAAAAACACGCGCAGAAAGCGCAAAAAAAGAACAAACGTACGATCTGCATGTTTAAATATTTTTGGTTTTGAATATTTTTTTGAAAAGGTTTTGCGAAGTATTTTTTGATATTTTTGTTTGTTTTCAAAAACCTTAATCGACCAAAAAATGGTGCATATGTATACAATATCTACAAAGTTAAAAGTATTTACACTGTACATAGTTGAAGAAACGAACGGGCTTACGTACCTCCCGACCACGGCGATTGGTCCTGGGAGGCGGCGGACTAGGTTCGGGTGATGTCGGGACGGCTGAAGCTTGTAGACCGTGATCTTGGTCTGGTTGGACTTCATTAGCATGTGGAAAGTTGATACGGTGAGTTGTGACGTCGCACGAGGGACTACTAGACAAAGTAGGTGATGTAGTTTCTTCCATAAAGGCGGGTTCTAGACGGTCGATGGTGACGACTTCGTGTCGACCACCGCGGTCAATAGTGTACGCCTTACTCGCACGATGCAGCACCTTGAAGGGTCCTATGTACGGCGACTGAAGAGGCTGTCGAACACCGTCTGCGCGAAGAAGGACGTGTGAACAAGTAGACAGCTTCTCGGGCACGTACACTGGTGTCTTCTGCGATCGAGGTGCGAGTGGACGTAGCTCACGCATCTGGTGAGCCAATCGATCGGTGTAACTTCCGTAGTCAAAAGTGGAAGTACATGGGGCTGGTGCTACCAGCTGTCCGGGCAACCGCAGCGTGCAGCCGTAGACTAGCTGCGCTGGTGTTGCATCGAAATCGGTTCTAACCGTGTTTCTTAAACCTAGGATAACGAGGGGAAGCATTTCAGCCCATGAAGGATCTGCGTGCGCGCGTAGTGCTCTCTTCAACTGGTGGTAAAGACGCTCCACCATGCCGTTAGCGGCCGGATGATACGCCGTCGTCTGGACGCGGCGACAACCTAAATCCTTAAGCGACATGGCAAATGTCGACGAGCAATGTGAACCTCGATCGGTGGTCACAATGGCGGGACAGCCGTATTGAGCTACCCAGCGCACCATAAAAGCTTTCGCTACCGTTTCTGAGGAGCAATTCGGGATGGGGACGGCCTCAGGCCATCTAGTAAGTCGATCGGTGCAGGTCATTAGATATACAGGGCCTTTGGAAGGCGGTAGGGGACCTACGAGGTCGACGTGCACGTGATGAAAACGTGCGTCTCGCGTGGAAAGCGTGCTTAATGGGCTTCTCGTGTGCCTGTGCACCTTCGCGCGTTGACATGGAAGGCAAGCAGCTACCCAGGTACGGACGTCCCGATTGACATTGCGCCAAACGACTCGTGCGGTTACGAGTTTAACCGATGCACGAACGCCTGGATGAGACAAGTCGTGTAACGTGTCGAACATGGTCTGCCGAAACTCGCATGGGACGACTGGGCGCGGCTTGCCCAGAGATAAATCGCAGAGTATCGTTCCATCTGCTGATGTCAGCGGAACGGGTCGTATGTCCAATGAGGGAGACCTACGAAGTAGTTCAAGCTCAGGATCGTTGAGTTGCGCTGTGGCCATGGCTGTCATGTCGATAGCAGTGCCGGCGTCAGCGGAAATAGCTTGAATGCGGGAAAGTGCATCGGCGACGGCGTTGTGCACATCTGAGACATGCCGTATATCGGTCGCAAACTGAGCGATATAGTCAAGGTGGCGCGACTCTCTAGGAGAGTATCGGTCGGTAGTCGAGCCGAGCACGTAAGTCAGGGGTTTGTGGTCGGTGAAGACGGCAAAGGAGCGGCCTTTTAAGACGTGTCGAAAGTGACGTATTGCTAGATATACGGCTAGTAATTCTCTACCGAACGTGCTGTAACGCGATTCGGTAGGTTGTATGCGTTTGGAGAAAAACGCTAAGGGTTGCCACGTGTCGGCTACGCGTTGCTGCAAAACAGCGCCCACTGCCACGCCCGAGGCGTCAGTACTGAGGGACAGTGGGGCGGCCGGATCGTGATGCGTTATAGAAGATATGTTGGCGATAGCCTCTTGCGGCGACTTAAAACAGCGCGTGCTGAAGCAGGAAATTCGAATTTCTTGAGTTGCCCTCGGAGAAGGTCCATGAGGGGTTGCATCAGCAAGGCGCAGTTGGGTATAAATCGTCGGTAAAAGTTGCCAAGACCATCAAAACGCCTGAGCTGTTTGAAAGAATGAGGCTCGGGATAGTCGATGATGGCTTGAATTTTATCCTGCAGTTGCACGACGCCTGCAGAAGAGATACGATGGCCAAGGAAATTGACCGCATCTACACCAAACGAACACTTTTCTGCGTTGATCGTCACCCCGTGTTGAAATAAACGATCAAAAAGTGTTCGTACGTGGCGTATGTGCTGTTCTCGTGAAGAGCTTGCGATTAATATGTCGTCAAGATACGCGTAAGCGAAGTCTAAACCGCGACAAACTTGGTCGATGAAACGCTGAAAAGTTTGTGCGGCGTTCTTTAGGCCAAATGGCATGCGCAGAAACTCGAACAAACCAAATGGAGTCCTCACGGCAGTTTTAGCGATGTCCGCCTCGGCTACCGTAATTTTGTTGATGCGCGTACCAAGTCGATTTTGCTGAAGATATTTTTACCCGCCAGACTGGCGGTGAGATCCACTATGTGTGGGATCGGATAGCGATCAGGCGTGGTTACCGTATGCAAGGATCGATAGTCGCCGCAAGGACGCCAGTCCCCCACAACCTTCTTCGGGACCTTGTGCAGATGCGACGCCCATGGGCTGTTGGACGGTCTGACGATACCAAGTTGAAGCATGTGGTCAAATTCGGCTCGTGCTGCCCGTAGTTTGTCTGGAGCAAGCCGTCTTGGTCGTGTGCTAACTAGTTGACCGCGCGTAACTATGTGGTGAGCGACCTCTGTCGTGACTGGTGGAAGCTCTGCAGCCGGTCGAACCAGTCGCGGATATTCGGGGAGGAGGCTCAAGTAGTCGGACGGTGCGTCTGCGATCCGAAATACAGGGCTGATTATCGGGGCATCTGAAAGGACACCATCAACACCTAGTTTCGTACGGTCGTCTAAAAGTCTGCGGCGACCAGCATCAACAAGCAACCCAAAATGTCCGAGGAAGTCGATACCGATAATTGCGAAGGGTACAGACGCGAACATGAAGACCCACTGAAAATCTCGGCGAAGATTGAGGTCTAGGTTCATCATGCGCTGACCGAATGAAGCTATCGGAGAACCGTTGGCCGCACGCAAATTGTACCTAGGCTCCGAGTGCTTGTCGTTAGCAGTCGCTGCGATGACGCTGACTTCCGCTCCCGTGTCGATGAGGAAGGTGATGGAAGAACGTCGATCCTCAACGTAAAACAGTCTGTTTGCCTGGTTATTGAATGATACGTTTGTAGTGCTAGTATGCGGGTTATTCGTTTTCCCTGGGTCGTGCTTAATGCAGGGAGCCCGACAACGTCTAGCTCTTCCGCCGTATTGGCGGTGATACCAACATACTTCTTCGAAGGGTTTGACATTATCTGACTGAGAACTTGTAAGGAAAATGTTGCGCTTTCGTGCCGAACGTGACGTACTCGGTGCAAGCACAGACGAGCCGCAATGAACGGTAGCCAAAACGTGGTCAGCATTTGACCGTGGCACCCGCTGCTTGGAAGCCTTCATTGTTGCTATCCTGCTGCGAAGTAAAGCAATTTCCTCGTCTTTAGAGTCAGATCGGTCTAGCGACTGGGAACAAACATGGGATTCGGTTTTCATCGGTGAGAATACGTCACCGGAGTTACTGGTCGTCTGCTGCGGAAAACGTTCAAACGCAGCGTCTGCCTTGGTAGCTAAGTCTTTCAAGGGTGCATCTATAAACATGGACAGCATTACCGGCAATGGCTCTGGGAGACGTGCAAACCACGGCTCCTTTATCCCTTCTTCGCTCAAGAATAAGGGACCAGCGATGCGCTGAAGTTCGCGGAGCAATGCCGACGGCTTGCGATCTCCAAGCTTGAGACCATTGAGCTAGTCAAATCATGTTCGTGTGCTGGGTCGTAACTCTTTCAAGATCGCTTGCTTCATCGTTTCATACTTTGTCTCATTCGATGGGCAGAGTAGAATGTCCTCAACCAGCGTCACAACCTACGGAGGAAGGCGTGGGACGAGCTGATTTTACTTTGGACCGTCCGCCGTAATGCCCTTATTATCTAGTTCGATCTCGAATATCTTAAACCAAACTTATGGACTGTGTTCCATGAAACATGGAACAGCCAAAGTAAGCATGGTTACGCTGTGAAACGACTCAGATGACACTATCGAAATGTGAGTCGAAAGATAAAGAATGAATAAAATACGATAAAAGTACTAAACTTACGCAAGAAACAAATGAATATAGGCATATAATCGAGAAAGTGGAACGAACTCACCAAAAAATACAAAGGAGAAATAAAGGTTGAATTCGCGCGTGTGAATCGGGGTCACCAATTTGTGGGACTGGTTAATACTAGTCCGAGACGGTGGGCGAATGTAAGCGCGGATATCAGAAGGCAATTGGAGTCGGACACAGCGGACTGTATTCGATGGGCTACAATAATAATCGGACGGATGAAGCAAGGCGAGAGGGTACACGTGAGCGCGGGAACTTACAAGGCTGTTGTGTGTCGAGCTGGTTGTAAGATTAAAACAAGAGGGACTAATGTACAATCGGTCAGCAATTAAATTGCACATGAAAGATATCAATTTTCTTTTAGGGCGCTACAAGTGTACTGGCTGTACGTCAGCACCTGAAAGCAGCCGCTCCCAGCTTCGGACCAGATTAACAAAACACCCGGCACATCTGATTGGTCAAATACAATTATGTATTTGTCAGCAATATTCCAATGGCTGAACTGGTAAAATTGATGGGTGATAAACACTGAGATCGAAGATGAAGTTGGTGCGGCAAATGTTGAGATCTTGACGATAGATAGCGACATTGACTGGGTGGTTGCAGCGGGAAACATTTGCAATATAGATGCAGATGCAGATGCAGCTAGGTTGAAGTAGTGGAAATGCTACCACACTTATGCACAGTAAGTGCCACATCCACCGATTTTAAAGATGTGTGTCATTGATCTGTTATGACTGGCCATGAAAAAATCACTTTGCACGTGCTGCTCGTAGTTACTGTCATGCAGCAAGTTGTTCATGAATTCATTAAGTGGTGCTACCCAAGACGAATACAAATGCTGAGGCTGCGAAGGTAACAAAGAATTGGCTTTTTCAGGATTTGCGGAAATGTGAGCAAAGATTGCGAACAGGGATTTTTTTATTCTCCTTAAAAGCAGGCCCGTTTTGTTTTGAGTGCAGAATGGTTTCAACCGGATAATCTAATGTTTCTACGGATGAGGATATCAGAAACTGATGGAAACTAAATCCAAAAACATCTGAACACATCTAGTATCTCGCGTGCTCGGTCATTCTTCAAGCGCAAGGAGAGAGCGATGCAGTTAGTTTAAAGACGGCAATTGATAAAATGGAGCGAGTATTCGTAGAAAAGAGGTGGCGTGCAATTCTAGCTAGAAGGACTTTATATCGTCTGAGTACTCGCCAAGCAACAATGACACTGTGGCCTTACCGAGAAGAGATCCAGGATGACCAAGACTCCAAGGAAAGTAGAGGGTTTTGTTCAACATTTGTACAATGATTGCTCAATCATGAGCCAGTTCTTCAAGTCAAGTCAAGTCAACCATGCTCTTTGTGTACCCAAAAATTGTGTTGGGCGGAACCTGGGATACTAATCGGTAAGCAATGACAGGTAACACTTGTCAAATACGACAGTATAGAAGTCGGAGGAGACTGAACCCAACGTGTATTGTGCAGGCTACAAGAATAGGAAGCGAATCAGACAGAGCGAGAAACGTGCAGCGAGGTACTCACCAAAACGGTTTGTGTCAACGGACGTGCAGTCAGTAAAACAAATGGATGTTTCAAAGATTAAAACAACCATAAAATCCAATG